CGGGGAGCGAGCCTTCCTCAGCATCCTGCTGGGCTGCGGGACAGATCTGGTGGTTTGACTGGCCAGTTCTGGCTCGTGGGCCATACTTTGCCCATCCCTGACCTGAAATAAACTTTTAAAGTGATGAAACAGAATTAAAGTAGTATGTGATTTTTGTCTTATCTTGCTAACATATACTGGACATTGCCTGTCCTGTGGAAGACATGGTGGACACAAGCAAATTGTGACCATTCAGTCCCCAGGCGGCAGCAGGAGGAGACTGGAGAAGCTGGCTCGTGGGCCATACTTTGCCCATCCCTGACCTGAAATAAACTTTTAAAGTGATGAAACAGAATTAAAGTAGTATGTGATTTTTGTCTTATCTTGCTAACATATACTGGACATTGCCTGTCCTGTGGAAGACATGGTGGACACAAGCAAATTGTGACCATTCAGTCCCCAGGCGGCAGCAGGAGGAGACTGGAGAAGAAGTTAGTCGCCAGCCACTGTCCAGTTTGCTACGGTAATTCTTCAGTTACACTTCCCTGAGGAGGAGCAGCAGCAGCACTCTGAAGAGGGAGTGTTGATCAGATCATGCTGCTGGGATTTCACATCTAGTAGAGTAGCCATCTTGCGAGTCCAAAGTTACAGCTGCGGGAAGTGTGTGTGCGTGCACTGTTCTACTGGAGCTGAGAGAAGGGAGAGGGATTTCTCAGAAAAAAGTGGCCAGCTATGCATAACATGGATCTTTAGAAAGACTGCTTCCCACTACTATAGAGACAGCACTCATAATGCAGAATCCTTAACAGGGGTTGTTAATGTTCCTCTCAGGCTTTGTCTACACGGCAGCGTTTTTGCGCAAGAAACTTTTTGCGGAAGAGATATTCTGCAAAAACTTCTTGTGCAAAAGCGCATCAGAAAAGCGATGTGCTTTTGCGCAATAGACCGTCCACACTGCATGGACGCTCTTGCGCATGAAAGAAGTTACTAACCTTGTGCAGGAACGATGGTTCTTCAAGATGCGTGTCCCCGTGGGTGCTCCACTGTAAGTGTTGGGCTTGTCCCGGGGCTGCAGATCAGAGATCTTTTTCAGCCATAGTCTTCCGGACTGTGCATACACGATGCGTGTCTCATGCCTTTCACGCTGTTTCTGTGTGTGCGGTCTGGCTTCTGCCAGTTCCTTCTGATCCTCTGGGGTCTGAAAGACACAATAAACAAGGTACTCCGAAGAGGGGAGAAGGGTGGGTCGTGGAGCACCCACGGGGACGTGCATCTCGAAGAACCATCATTACTGCACAAGGTGAGTAACTTCTTCAAGCAGTGTCTCTCGGGGTGTTCCACTGTACGTGAGTTCACAGCAGTAGCCTACTTAAAAGGAGGCGGGATTCTGAGTTATCACCCTGCTGCTGTGGAGAGGACAGCTGAAGCAACTGCTGCGTGAGTCATAAGGAGGTTAGGTATAGCGTAGTGTTTAGCGAATGTAAAGCTGGAAGACCATGTAGCTGCTCGGCAAATATCTTGTAGGGGAACTCCCTTGAGGAAGGCAGTTGAAGGTGCCATCGCCCTCGTTAAGTGGGCCCTCAGAGCGTGTGGAAGAGGCTTATTCTGTAGCGAGTAACATTGTGTAATAAATGTGACGATGAGTCTGGATATGCGCTGTGCCGACAAAGGATGGCCTTTGGAACATTCTACAGTGGATAATAGGAGGCTCTATGACTTTCAAAAGCACCATGTCCTGTCAATGTAGAACGCTAATGCTCGATGGACATCCAAGGTATGGAGATGTGCATGTGGTGCCGAGAAATGTGGCTTAGGGTAGAATGTGGGAAGAACTATTTATTGGTTCATTTATGTGAAGCTCTGAATTAATCTTTGGTAGAAAGGCTGGTTGAGGGCACAGTATTACTCCCTGGGGGATAAATATTGTGTAAGGTGGTGTTGCCGAGAGGGCGGATATTTCCCCAACCCTCTGTACTGAAGTTATTGGCAACAGAAAAACCATCTTCATGGTCAAGGTGGATAAGTCACAAGTTGCCAAGGGCTCGAAAGCGGGTCGCATTAAGGCATCCAAAACTAGGTCCAGGTTCCAAAGGTCCTCAGGCTGCCTGTAGCATGGGAAGAGATTAACCAACCCTTTAATAAATCTCTTTGTCATTGGGTGGGGAAAAAACGGAATAGCCATCCACAGACTGATGAAAGGCAGTGATTGCTGCAATATGTACCTTAAGAAAGGAGAATGCAAGGCCAGAATGTTTGAGATCTAAAAGATAGTCCAAAATGCGGTGAATAGGGGTTCAAGTTTGCGGTGGAACACCATGAACAGAAGTGTCGCCATTTGTGCAGGTAAGTGTTGTATGTATTGGATCTTCTACTATGTAACAGAACGTGTTTGACAGCTTGGGAACAACTCATCTCTGTTGGAACCAACTCAGTACCATGCTGTCAGAGCAAGGTGGTCGAGTTGAGGGTGTATCAAGCGCCTGTGGTTCTGTGTCAGCAAGTCAAGACATTTGGGAAGATGATATGAAGGGTGGACCGACATGCAAAACAGGTAAGGGAACCACATCTGTCATGGCCAGAAGGGGACTATCAGTATTACTCTGGCTCCTTCAATTGCTATCTTCCCCAGGACTTTGGGAATGAGAGGAGTAGGTGGAAAGGCGTATAGAATGTGGTGGCTCCAGTCGCATAGGAGAGCATCTCCCCATGATCTTTCTTCCGATTCTGGCTTTTAAGCAGTATTGAGGGCACTTCGTGCTGCGACACGTGGTGAAGAGATCTATAGATGGATATCCCCAGCGGTGGAATAGGGTATGGAGCACATTTTGGTGCAATTTCCATATGTGATTTGTTGAGAAATGCCTGCTGAGGGCATTGGCTGTGACGTTCTGCTTGCCATGGAGGTAAGCTGCGATAATCGTAACTTTGTGTTGGTTGTAGCAATTCCATAATTGCATTGCCTCTGTGCAAAGGGATCGGGATTGAGCCCCACCTTGTCTATGTAGTATACCATTGTCATATTGTCGGTAAGGACACGAATGACATGACCACGGACCAGGGGAAGGAAGTGCTGGCAGGCATTGAAGACTGCCTGCAACTTGAGTAGATTAATATGTTGCAAGGACTCCTGAGCAGACCAGTGTCCTTGGATTTGTTGGTCTTGTAGATGGGCACCCCTTCCTAGCAGTGACGCATCGGTGGTAAGTTGCATAGTTGGTTGAGGTCAGTGAAAGGGTATTCTGTCCATCAAGTTGTCGGGGATAGTCCACCATGCTAATGATTCTTTTACATAACAAGGTACAGTGACCTTTCTGTGGACATCGTGACTGTTTGGCATATATATCAAAGCAATCCAATGTTGAAGGCAGCTGAAGTGCAACCTTGCATGTGCTACAACGTATGTCTTACATGCCAGGCGCCTCATGAGTTGTAGGCAGGTAAGTATAAAGGTTCTGGGACTGGTGGAGAGAACCTGTATCAGGTCTTGAATAGCCTGGAACCTGTTTGTTGATAAATATGTGTGAGCCATGGCAGAGTTGAGGCGTGCACCTATAAATTCTATGGACTGTTGAGGCATCATGGATGACTTTGCAATGTTGATTATAAGACCAAATGCTTCGAATACGGTTCTTGTTATGTTGGTAGCCTGAAGTGCTTCGTCAAAAGAAGGTGCTCCAATCAGGCAGTCGTCGAGCTAAGGGAATAGGATGATTCCCACGCGCCGTAAGTAAGCTGTCACTACCGCCAGTGTCTTCGAGAAAACCCTGGGGGCTGATGAAAGAACGAAAGGCAGAACTTTGTACTAGAAATACTCTGAACTGACTTGAAAACGTAGAAAATGCCACTGAGCTGGGTGAACGGTCACATGAAAATAGGCATCCTGCAGGTCGAGGGATGTAAACCAATCTCCAGGGTCACCATCTTGAAGCATTGTTTGCGAAGGTACCGATTTAGTCGTCAAAGGTCATCACTTGTTTTAAGAGAGACTCGTGAGATGGGTCCCTGAAGAGAGACGGGAACGGAGAGGTGGGAGGAGGAAGTGAAATAAAAGGGATGGTGTAGCCAACACAATTAGCTGTAGGACCCATTGGTTGGTGGTGATATAGGCCCATCGTTGGTGGACTGGCCTCAGCTGATGGTGAAAAAGTGCGTTTGTGGCATGATGGTGAATGGCCAGCAGAATGGTCTGCAGTCCCTTGACCGAGGTGTCAAACCTGCTGTCTGGTGTTCTGTTGATTAGGCGGTCTAATTTGTGGTTGTCTTTTCTGCTGTCTTTGTCTGTTGCGTTGATGTTCCTGTTGTCTATACTGAGGTGTGAGAATGGCCTTTGTTTCTGGTAGGGCATATATCATTTCTGACGATAAGGCTGTGTATATGTGCCCACAGTCCTAAGTGTAGTCCTGGAGTCCTTATCAGAATGGAGAACTTGGTCAGTCTCTTCCACGAAAAGACTCTGCCTGTCAAAGGGGAGGTCCTTGACCTTTGACAGGAGGTCCTTTGGTACTGCTGCTTGCTGAAGCCATGACGTTCTGCGCATGACCACCGATGTGGCTGTGGTTTGTGCTGCCATAGCTGCGGTATCAAGGGCTATGTGGTGAGCTGTCTGGAAAGCCATATATCCTTCCTGTACTACTGCCCTGAGTACTTCACACTTACTATCTGGCAGATGTTCTGGAAGTGGAACCAATTTCGAATAGTTATCAAAATTGTGATTGGCCAGGAGCACGGCATAATTGGCCATCCTTTAAGTTAATGTGGCGTATGAGTAGACTTACCATCCAAAGAGATCTAGATGCTTGCTTTCCTTGTCATTGTTGCTGCCCTTGCACTGAGGAGCTTTAGCCCTCTGTTGTGCTGCATCCACAAGAAGAGAATTTGGTTGTGGATGTGTAAAGAGGAATTCCATGCCCTTAGTAGGAACCAAGTATTTCTTGTCTGCTTTCGTATTTGTAGCGGGGGTTGAGGCTGGTGTCTGCCACATATCATCTGCTATTTCTAAAATCTCATCAAGTGTGAGGGCGACTTTCAAGCTCTGGGACGGTTGCAGGTTTCTTAATAAACTATGCTGTTTTTGTTGGACCTCAGAGTGTTGCACCTGTTGGCTATCAGCAACTCTCTTGAATAATTCTTGAAACCGGTCAGATGTCGTCAGTGGGAGATGCGTCACTGGGGAAGATGGTGTCATCTGGTGACGAGGATAAGTTGTCTGTAGGGTAGTGTCCTTGTGGCTCCTCATGGTCTGACAGCTGGCCCTATTCTGGTTCCAACTGGTGAGGAACGGGATGTGGCTGGAGGGGTGGGGGGAAGGAGATTCCAATTGGAGTGGGAGGTCTTGTTGCTGATGGAGCTGGAGAATTTGTCCGGTTGCCTGAGGTGCAAGGTTGCTGACAGGAAGGCGATCTTATCTTGTCGCACCATGGAGTGTATGAAAGAGGTCTGTGATAATAGTGGTGATATCTGTGTGGTCTATCATAGTGGCATGCGCGAGGTGGAGAATGTCGAGGGGAGTATCTACCTCTGTGAGGATCGTGGTGTCTGCAGGAGGAGGAGAGTGTGAGTGATTGCGACCTGCCTCTTGAATGAATCTCGGTGCCGATGATGATAATGAGGCAAAGTGTAAGATGGTGAATAGTAACTGCCTCATGGGCTGGTGCCTAGGTGAATAATCAGATGGAAAGGATTGAGCTGGAGACAGAGAAGGTGGTTCTGGAAAAAATTCAGTGTGTTCCGGACTGGGTGAAGGTGTTGGCAGCTTGCATGATTTTTGGCATGCTTTCATTGGCGCCGGTGTCAAGGTTTGCGTTGGTGCCAGTTGCATGGTTGTGTGCAAAGTAGGTGTTGGCAATGAGCAGTGCCGTGGAGCCGACTGTGTGGCTGATGCTGACACTTGGTGGCACACCGGTGCTGATATAGTCAGTGCTGGGGAATCTGGTGCCGTAGGCACTAGTGGTGGCAAAGTCGTCGTTGGTGCCAGCAACGTATATGTCCTTTGTGCCAATTTTGGCGCCGGTTCAGGGCTTGGTGCCAGGTGAGTTGCAGCAGCGGTTTTTGGTGCCTAATCTCTGGGAGGTGCTGGATTTGGCGCCGAGATACTCGGGCCCTGCTTGTGTGTATTGAGTCAGCGGATGATAGCCATGTCCAATGTGCCCAGTTTGTCCCATGCTAACGTGAGTCGGGGGCAAGGAACATGAGGGAAAAGGCCTCCTCTTTGCGTGGGCAGTCTTAGGCGAAGCCGGTTGACATTTGGTGGTTCCGGCCGATTCAGGGGGTTGGAAGGAATCAGTCTCAGACGACTGTAACGCTTTATCAAATAATAGCATTTTCAGCCTCATCTCCCTGTCTTACCTAGCTCACGCCATGTTTCGAATAGTGGGGACATTTTTGTGGAATATGTCCCTTACCCAGGCACCGTATGCAGAGTGAATGCCTGTCTGAGGTGAGCATGGGCTCGCAGCATGTGCCACACTTTTTAAAATCAGGGGAGCCAGGCATGGCTCAATCGGAGGTCTTCTGTTCTCTAATTGAAGGAGAGAACTAGCCAAGCTACGAATATTACTATATATACAGTAGACTTCCAATAATCTGGCACCTTTGGGATCTAGGTGGTGCCGGATTATCGGATATGCTAGAGTATCAGGAGGTACTGCATACTCCCAACCCAATCCTGCTCCCACTCCCCGCAACCTTATGCTTGGGTCCCGGAGCCACCAGTAGACGCGAGTCTCCCTCCAGGCACTGGGACACGTACTCTGAGTGGCTGGCTTTTCAATGAGCTGGCCAGGACACCATGCGTAACCCAATCCCCCTCCCCTTCCCCAGAGCCAAACCCCTCCACTCCCTGTTGTAACCCACGTGAGAGCGGCTGACCTGAGCAGTTCCGGGTTCCATCCCAGTTCCGTCAGGAGCGCTTGCCATTTTGATGCCAGACTATCGGGAGTGCTGGATAATTGGGTGTTGGACTATTGGAGTTTTACTGTATATTTTTTAAATGATGTTAACACTAGAACAAACTAACTGACTACAACTGTAACAACTAATAACTATACTACTAACTAACAACAAACAATTTCTTCTCTCAATCCCTGACAGGATTTAACGAGAGAGCGTTCACTCCATTCGCGGTCAGGAGGAACTGGCGGAGAATCAAAAGCCCTCTGTCCTGTCGATTTACTGTGTTTTTTGTGCAAAAACACACTTGAGGTGTGGACGCTCCGCTGGTTTTTGCGCAAAAACCTTGTAGTGTAGACAAAGCCTCATTGTCTCTGTGTATGCCTCTTCTGACCACTGCTATGGAATCAGACTGATTGCTGGAATCAGACTGAGTCTTAACTGCTCCCCAATCCACATCTGAATGACTGTGCCTTGTCTGGGACATTCCAACCTAGTATTATACCCCTCTTTTCTGCTTGCAGCATAGGAGTAGGTTGAGTGCTGGATCACCGTTCTCTCTCTTTTTTTGGACAAGCGCAGGCTCTCTTCAGCCTGCCATCAGCTAGGGAACCTGACCTGGCTGGCTAAAGTCCTCCTCGCCCTTGGAGTCTCTCCTGGGTCTGCTTAGGAACACACAATCTTTCCTGTATCGGAATTGCGGCAGCTCTGGGACTGGGTGAGGACCAGACAAGTCTATCTAACACAGCCCCTGCCCTAGAAATGCAAGGATTGGTTGGCTGAGAACAGGCAAGGCATAATTTGCCTTACAAAGTGCCTATAAAAGCAGCCTCACAAATAGACCACTGCTTGGATTTAGCTCAACGTCTGCACATTAGCTCTGCCATGCCTGAAGTAGGGGCAGGAGGGCTGGTCCTTGGTGACTAAGATCATCCCACTATTGAGTAATCACCCCAGAAGAAGAAATGGTACATGCGCTACAGCCCAAAAATGACTGAAGTTAGGATCAAATTGAATGTTACAGTTGCCACAGACTCTGAAGATCTGGCAGTAAAAGGAGAATGGGGTATCACTCAAACAGGTTGTATTACGATTGTGAGCTGTCTGAGGGAAACTGCAGCCAGACGGGCAATAAGCCATATCTATTGTAACTGTGGGATTTTCTGGGCTGCAGAATGTCAGTGCTCAAGAACTTGGTGCTGAGGACAAAGGTATAGGAGGGCATACTAAAGGGGCTGCAGTCCGCAGAGCTGGATGATACTGGAGTCACTCAATACGTGGTCCGTGTTGAGGTGTTAGAGCGACCCAGTCTGGGTTGTTTACCACTTTTTGACTGTGGAATCTGAAATGAATCCAAGAAATTATGACTTGTGTCTTGGACTCACTGTTACTGAAGACCAGTGTTTAGGTTTGTCTTTGGAACAATGTTGCTTCTTCACCTATTCTCAGAAGGTTGACTGCAGCGAGGCCTTTTCTGCCCTTCAAATCTCAATAACTGACAACTGGAGTTTCTGGCCAAGAAGGTAGTTAGCTAATTACAACTAAGCTTCTACTATAATGAGGTGCAAGTAGGGGGGAAGAAGGTAAGTACAGCCCACGTTCTGTCTCAATGTCGGGGTGGCAAGAAAGAACCAAGATGGTTTTGGCCCTGCTCTACCCTTTATGCTTTCATGTTGTTTGGTTGAGCTCTAATATTAATCTGGATATCCTGATGTGCCATAACCTCACCTACATAGAAAAAAAGTCAAGATAGAGCTTTAGCTATAATATTTCTCAATCATTTTCTGATTTCTAAGAACTTTAGCTTACCTGCATATCCCCATATCTCCACATCAGTATCACCTATGAAAGTCTATGTACACCAGGGGTATCAAACTCATTTTGTGTTCAGGTCATGCATCGTGAGTGAGGTTACTCCTAAGAAAGGAAATCTTATGTATAGGTAAGATATGACTTTCAGTGTAAGTAATAACTTAGTTTATAGTTACATATGTAAAACATACTCACTTTTTATACAAAGAAAACACATATTTTAGAAGTAGAAAATTTTTTTAGTTGATAAGCCTCAAATGAACATTAAACATACTAAATTGATTACAAGGTAGATTTAAAAAAAACTTCAAAAGAAGCACAGCATCAGAAAAGATTGTTATATTAGACATTTTATTTCATGTAACCAGTCAATTTTAATACGCTTATTTCATGTAACCAGTCAATTTTAATACGCTTGACTTCAGAGTCTGAAATGTTTGGTGGTATCTAGTTTAGTTTTGGTCTTCAAGTAGCTGTGACAAATTATTCAGCCATTTTACAGATCTTCAGGAAAAAGCTACATGACTAATGCAAAATATTAGGCCAGTAGAGGCAGTTCTGAGCAATTTTTTTTAGGAAGTGCTCCAACTGCAAGCATTTTGTTGTAAATGAGGGGACAATTAGAAAAGACCAGCACTAAACTTAAGTCAGAAACATTTTAGACTGGTTCAATAAAAAGTAATGTAACAAATTTAATTTTCCAGCTGCATTTACCCTACTTATATCAAGGAACAAGAGATAAGCCAGTGACCACACAGAGGATACAATTTCAATATAAATACGAATTATGATACTTCCATTTTCCTCTAACTGGAAATGTTAAGATGATGCAAGTTCTTACATCACTTTGAACAAAAAAAAAAATCAAACTTCATGCAATAGCAGAAGATTTAAACCACTTATTAGGTTAGAATAAAGAACATGATAATAGTGAATAAATAATTTGCTTGGATGTCTATGCTCAGAAAATGTCAATACAATAGTTATTCGAAATATAAAATATTTTAGTCTAATCCAAAATACTTAAATTTGTGGTTTATACAAAACAGGGTTTGTGTGGAAACAGCTATAAAAAACCAACAGTAGTGAGAGAGATTCTGAAGAAGTGATTTAAGTATCTAATTAAAATCACTACTGTGTGTATACATGGGAGATTTACTGATTTTAAACTCAAGAAAATCATTTAAAATATGCTATAAAGAGCAAAGAAAATAAAACTAAAGTTTTTTAAAGATTCTACTTTTCATTATTTAAGCTTTTTAATCTATTTTGACTGAGCAAGATGAGAAACACTATTTGTGTTCCAACTCTGCAAGAGAATGTTAATTAAATTCACTCACTGGAATTTTGATTTTTTTCCATGTAAATGTCAGCTGAAGTCTTTTTTATATACAAGACAGATTTTTACAAATGGTCAATTTGGAGTCAGGTGGTATCTCAGTGACCTGTTAAAGGTGGGAATTTTTCAATAAAAGGACACTGTGTGAACTGGTGTAGGTCCTAAAAATTAGGTTCCTCAGTCTCTGAATGCTGCTTACGTAATTACATAAACATTTGCTTGAATTCTCAAGAGTGATCACTCTTCCTCTTCCAAGGATGAAGCACATAGGCTTTCCCTTGAAGAAGGTATATTTGGTGGCCTTTGTGGCTCAGGTAACTCTTTAAAGTAAAAAATACCCCATATTTTACCCTGATAAACTTCGCATATCCATTTTGTTCAGTTTAAATATATGAACCAGATAATTTAATAAAACAATGCTACATAAAATCCTCTTTGAGATACCTTAACATATGTTAATACATACATCCATTTGGCCAGTAATCAGAAAAAAGGTCAGCATTTTCAGAATTTAAAATTAACTGGTTTAATTTTTGTTTTTACATTTTCATGGGAATAAAAATGCTAATATATATTTGATAACCTACAAACTCAGTGAAATTCTGGCTTCAATGACATTAATAGGAGTTTTGTCACTGACTTCAACAGAGCCAGGGAGTTTGCCTATGTTTCTAGGCAGCACATTACACATATACATTTGTTACCAAGATAATTTGCAGATACTAACATGAATTGCATCTAATCTAAATATTAACAGTAAGGCAAGATTTAAGCATGTCGGTTTCTTCCAGGAAGCTTAGGGAAATCTTCAGGTAACAGAACATGAACTCGACATGTTGGACACGTACTTTGTGTTTTAAGCCAGGTTGCAATACACTGTGAAAAAAGATGGCAAAAGAAATGTCAGAAATTTTAGTTAATTTCAGGTACATTTAGTAATAACTACTAGCAAAACGACACTACTTCAAAATAGATACTTTTCCAAAGCATTCAAATGTAAGTTAAGATTTGGTGTTGGAAAAAATCTGGCCTCTGGTTCCATAATGCTACAGAGACTATAGCTATGTATTTAAAAACCAATTTCTGATGTGCATCAACTATACAGTTATTTTTATTACACCTATTTTTAAGGTTTGTTAACTAAAAAAGGATAAGTACATAAGAATATCTTTTTAGTCATGAACTTTAGTATGGATTGTGAGTTCAATCCTTGAGGGGGCCATTTACAGATCTGGGGCAAATCTGTCAGGGATGGTACTTGGTCCTGCTGTGAGGGCAGGGGACTGGACTTGATGACCTCTCAAGATCCCTTCCAGTTTTGAGATTGGTATATCGCCATATCAGGAGTTAATGTACATTAGTAATACTAATATTAATTCTTATTTACTATAAAAACTTGCTATACTAGCTGTTTCCATGTGTGCCTACCCTTTGAACAAAATATTGGCAATTAAACCTGTGTTCCTGTTACATGTTAATTAGTGTCTCTGTGAAACTTTGAATAGAATGTGTACAGTCAGCCTTATTTTTAAGTTGAAACAGTAGTTTAACAAAATCATTTAGTATCTAGCTTGCTAGAATACAAGAAAATTTTGTCAGCCGAAAATAAAGGAATATTTTCAAATATGCAATGAGTTGTTATAAGGAATACAACATATGAATTGCTACTTTACTATCAATATTAAATACTTTAAATTTTTTTTGGTGAAAAGGCAGAAGATCTGTCTAAAGTCAAAATATATTTGAGTTAGATAAGTAAGTTCAAAAGACTCACAGGTAAATAGTGTGAGAATATTAAAAAAATTATTAATCCTTACTCGTTTGTGAAAACTGTGTCCACATTCTAGCACACACAAATCTTCCTGGCTTAGCTCCTCATGGCATATTATGCAGGGATCATCATCAGATGTCTAGAGATACAAAAAATATGTTTTTAAATAATTTGAAGGTTAATTTCTTTAAAAAAAAAATCTATTAAGTCTAGTCAGCAGCTAGTTGTAACATACTAAACTCGAGTGAAACAACCAAGATAGTGTTTCCAGTTGCACCTCCCCTCTCCAGTGGACTGCATGCCTTCCAAAGATAAAACAGTCACAGATCCTGCCCTGAAGAGCTTAAGCCTATTGTAAACAAATGTATTCTGCCGATTTCTTTTTTTTAAAAACACAACAGAACAATAGTATTTAAGTCTATAAGAATGCATCTACACTGCATCCAGCGCTCGAAATATGCTACGCAATTTGAGTGACACAAATTGCAGATCTTATTTCGAAATTTGGCTGTGTTTACACAGTACTTATTTAGAAATAAATCACTATTCTGAAACGTCCCTTACTCCTTGAGGAATGAGGTTTACAGGGACATCAGAATTGCAAGCCCATTATATTTCAAAATAATGGGTGCGGTCAAAAGACGCAGAATAGCTATTTTGGGGCAATAGCACTGCAATATAGACATAGCCTTAGCTTTACTAACGGAAGTGATGCTACTGAAGCGGAGACTTCACTACAGAATACTTTCAAAAACAACAATGAAACTTTTA